GTGTCTATAACATCTGAGAAACCAGAGAATCTTGTTTGCTTGGGAACTGGTTGCTCTGTGCCTTTGTGAGCTGTGACAGAGACGTGCTTTAAATGACGTACAGAGGGAACAGTTCTTGGTTCTCCCACTGATATTAAGAGGCTGGGTGAAGGGACCCAGAACTAGTGGGTGAAAAGCCTAGTACAGCGCCAATGGGGATGGAGTTGCAAGTTGGGACCTCTTCTTCTCTAAGAGATTTTTCACTCTCTGACATCAGGAGGGTGATGCATAGCTATGAGGTAGGCTCGATAGCAATTGCATTCTACCTTTACTCCTTTAACGGGAACCTGTGGGCAAGTCGTGGGCTTTATAGAATATGAAGGTAAGTGCTGAGAAACTGGCCTTAGTTTTCTTAAGGGTTGGAAATCAGCAGTGGTAGCTAGACAGAAAGGCGTCACCTTACCTCCCTTCTCATCAAAACTTCTGTGGGGTTATTTCAGGTGTCAGTTATGAAAAGCTGTGCAGTAGGAACCTCTCCAGTGAACCTCTACGAGGTTGCATCCCACTATTTGACAAGTAGTGTGGTAAAGCACCTCTCTGTACGAGGTCAGATTAATCTTTTTTTTTATGGAGTTTTACATGAATGCTTTGCTTTGGGATTGTTGTTTCTCCATGCATAAATCTTTATTATACCAATAGCCTGCAGCCCCAGTGAAGCAAAGCAAAACTCATTTTTATTCTTTGTATTTATCACCACAGTGAGAGAACTCATTTGAAAAGGAGTAGTGAGAGTTTCCAGCAGCTGCGGTGGGGATTTGGGTGCTGTAAGCTTTCAGTGGGCTTTTGTTTCTCCCTTTTAAATTTGAATGGGATATGCCAATTGAGCATCATTCCCTTTGGGATGATACTGAGGATGGAACTAAAAGTGAACTTTTGTTGGAAGGTGCTATAGGAATAGAGGAGCAGGTTGTGCATGCATCCATGCATGCACTTTAGTCTGGTGGATCAGAAGATGTGCTGATGTGTGCAGGCTGTGCTTTGCAGCCAGCTCAGTCTGAAGCCTTGATTTTTACTTTCTGACATGTTGGTTTGGGTTCAGGCAGGGTTCTTTAGAGGGGGATGATAAATATGCTGACATGGAAGTGCTGGTAGCTTTTACCAGGTGGTGAATTTGATGCCTCCACCTTGAGGTTGACCTCGCCTAATTTACGTTTGCAATAAACGATACAGTGCATGTCTCTACTGTCTGCACACAGTGGGGTTACTGATACGTGTTAGTTATCTGTGATATAACAGTGTACTTTTTGTTAATGAATGCAAATAGTTAAGAAAGATAAAAGTAGAGGTTTTATTTAAAAACAAAAATATTTTTTTATGGAGAAAAAGCATAATCCTACTTATCTAGGTTTTGACTTTCTGAACAGTGTACATTAATTTTGGTTCACTGTATGCCTTCCAAAATCTGCAGTGCATGAAACCCGATTCCCACCAGTAATAGCTTGGAGGAACCTCTGAGCCTGTGTAGGGA